GGGATGGGGGCTAAAAGGGGGTCGCGGGGGGGTAGAATCTGCCTTCGGCCATCCTGGGGCCTGTTTCCTTGCTACTCATGGTTTACTCCCTCCTTACTCATAGTTTACTCCCTCGTTACTCATGGTTTCCTCGTTACTCGTGGCTTACTCGCAAGTGACTCATCATTTGCTCACTCACCATTCGTCGTTTACTCTCTCGCCGCTCATAGTTCACTCACTCGCTACTCGTGGTTTACTCCCTTGGCGCTCATGGTTTACTCACTCCCCACTCATCGCTTACTCACTTGCCACTCATGGTTTACTCACAAGCTACTCGCTGCTTGGTGCCAGCCCTCCAAGGCGGCTTGTGGTGGGGACCAGATGGGAACAAGCCCTCCTACTCGCTCCTTATGCTTTACTCACTGACTACTCAGCACTTAACTTCCAGTTTACAACCTTTCCTCTCTTACTCCCTCCTTACTCACACACTTGCTACTCACTCTTAACTCACTACACATCCCTGGGCAACTCTGCATTCCCTATGTCCTCCCAGCTTGCTCGTCTACTCATGCGTTACTCACTCGTTACTTGGTTACTACTCACTCCTTGGGCCATCCAGACCAGCTAGAACACCCTACACCCACTACTCACTCGCTACTCATCACTTGGCCAACAAACACTTACTACCAGCACGGGGAGAAAGCCCTCCTCAGCATCCCAGCCCTCCTCCTGGGTTACTCGCCGCCTTACTCCACCCTCACAGCTCTAACTATGAGCACGGGGAGAAAGTGCTCCTCCTAGGTTACTCACCGCCTTACTCCACCCTCACAGCTCTTACTACCATCACGGGGAGAAAGCCCTCCTCCTAGGTTACTCACCGCCTTACTCCACCCTCATGGCTCTTACTACCAGCACGGGGAGAAAGTGCTCCTCCTAGGTTACTCACCGCCTTACTCCACCCTCACAGCTCTTACTACCAGCATGGGGAGAAAGCGCTCCTCCTAGGTTACTCACTGCCTTACTCCACCCTCATGGCTCTTACTACCAGCA